TGTGTGTGTGTGTGTGTGTGTGTGTGTGTGTGTGTGTGTGTGTGTAATCAGGAATGATACGGAAAATTACCAATTTGATTCTATTTGGGTCAATACTTTAGTGTCACGGTTCAATATTGATACAAAAAAGAGAATTTTCCATGCCCTTCTTAACTTGTAATTTATTGAAATTAATTATAAACATTTGTTTAGCCTCAAAGGTACAGTTTTTAAATGAAATGTTGCTGAAACAGCAAGTTTCTCAGTGGATCGGCGCTTGACAATGCAGCCTAGGTGGAGTAGTCGAACACAGATCCACTGATCCTTCGACAAGTTGAAAAAAGAAATTGTATTCGTATTGTTCCAAACATTGTGTGTATTGAACCTAAAGCACCGTATTGAACAGTTTGATACAGAGATATTATTGCACCCTTACTGTATTTAACAACATATCAATCACAGATCGATTGAGGGGAATTATTACTTTCTTTTTATTGCGACAACAAAATGAATGACATGAAAAGCACAAATAACAAGCCGTTTGAAAATATTACATCATTTGTAGTTACGMTATTTGTGCTCTTTGTTATTCCTGACTTCTGCCTTGGCTCTTGTGATGCCAGAAGAGAAATTTTCATCTGGATCTCTTTGTGTCACACTGGCCTCGAAAAGTAATTTGACTATTGATTTAGAAGAAGGGGGGAAAAAATCAGCTTTGAGAGGCTGCTCTGTTCCTGGCAGTGTCTGTGGGCTGAAGCACCATAATAATTTATGTAATATGAGAAAATCATTTCATAGTCCTTTCATTGTTCATGCAATCGAAAAAAATATGTTATCGTATAGAAATCATTACCATACAGGCAGTTTTATACCAAGCTTCTGTTTTCCAGTAGTAATGTTTAAGACAATGCTTGCTGGGAACAGGCAATGAATTAGTCACGTCTTTGGTAGCAAGACTTAATGTGATAAGAGTAGGTAATCATCCTCTGCAGATATATAATTCACTATTAATAGGCTATCTGACTCCAAATTTAACCATGACAAATTATTGGATTTCTGAGTCATTTTACAGGCTGCTCACACTCTCCGTCTCTCCTTTTCCCTCCCTAACTTACTTTACACTGTTGCTGCCAGTGGCCCAAATGTGTCACACCTAACAAGGCTTGCTGCAAATTTAGCTTGTCAATATGTGTCAGGCCTCATTCATCAGCTATAACTCTTCATCTGAGCTGTCCTTCGACTTTCACATTTCGCCGCCGAGAGGCTTGACTTCTCCCTGAGCCCGCGTGGTTCAATCCCGCCCTGAGGTTCTCCGCTTCAAGGTTCAAAAGCAATGACAACCCGTGTCCTTGCAAAAGCAAAGAGCAGCAAGGGGAACCAGGGGGGAAGAAGGATTGTGGGGGCAGACACAGTGTAAAACCAGCTGATGAGAACTCACAGCAGATTTTTTTTCTGGCATGCAATGTCATGTGATTGACATTACCTGAAGTTTTGACTGACTGGTTGAGAATTTTACACATGCGTGTGATTGTCTTCTGAATGCTAACATACTGACATCCAGCAACACATGCTGTTTTTATACGTTTCTTTTGGAAACCATTATCACTAGAAGGAAATATATCACAATATGTACACTTTTTTCCCCCTGGGTCTGAAAGATGACAATGGGTCTATTGGTCCAGTTGGTCCGAATTTACTGAGCCCACGAGTGGACACGGGGGATTTTTTTTCTTTTTGCGTTCCCACGCAAAAGTACAGCGTTACCTCGCAATACCTTTTGCGTTCCCTCGCAAAAGTCGTTAAACACTGTTGCGTCTGCCGGTTTATTAACAAACTCACATGTTTACCATAAGCGAGTTAGCCTACTGCTTTAGTTCAGCTTCAGAATGAATATATCACACAGCCACGCATGGAAGTATGTCATATGCCTATATTTTAACAC